GGACGCGCATATCAATGCGCTTTTGTTTATATATAAAATCCTGATGTCATCCGATAGTGGGGTGATCCTCCCTCTGTTTAGTGTGAGGCTGGTGTAGATGGTCCTCTTTCACTAGGGGGTCCTACTCCGTGCTCCTGGTAAGCAGTATCCTCCAAGTATCCTCCGGGTGGGCTGGTTTCCACCATGTGGTAGTGATCCGTCCAAGGAATGCGTCTGTGGACTGGTTTTCCTTAAACTTAGAAATGATCTTTTGTTTTATCCGGTTTTCTTCAGGAGTGTTCACATTTGCAGTTTCTAGATAGCTTCCGCTTGTTACATGATGCAGAAGATGTTGGCTCTCAGCTACTCCTTGATTTAAAGGATAGTTTTCAAGACAGCTTCAAAAATGCTGCAAGACTGTCTCAGTTATTCTAGAATCTCAGCAACACGTCTGCTTTTTTTCTGCTCTTATTGATTCATCACACTGTTTGTGGTCGTTCAGGAAGGGAAGGAAAATGTTGAAAACGTGAGCCTTTAACTGCATGTTGTTTAAGGCTCAAAATCTTGCTTCCATCTGCCATTACTTGTGAGTCAGGTGAACACTGGAATTATTATGACAATTTCTACTCCATCAAAGATTTCAGAGATTACAAGTAGAAAATAATGATATCCCAACATACAAGTAAGGCATAGATTGAGGGCCCTGAGGGGTCTAGGATATAGCCCAGATTCACACTAGACAATACTAAGACCAAACAATGGATGTGAATGTCAGTCCAATCTTTTCCAGGGAGGCTAAGTGTCAGGTCAGGAGTAATAATGACAGCAAAACAGTTTAAAAGTGATACATATGCAAACAGTTAAGCAGGACAGTGGGCAATAGCAGGCTGGCTGGCTGGTACTTGTGGTGCACAACCACAGAAGTCAGCAGGGCAGCAGGAACTGGTGCATACACAGAACAGGTCAAGAAGTAACAGAAAGAGTTGGATAACAAGGAGGGTCAAGCAGACGTGTAGTCCAAATGAGCTGGGTCATACATGAGTATATTCCTGTTGAAACAGTACACAATTACAAGGCTGGTTCAGCGTAAGCTGGGTCATACATAATCCAGAGAGTAAATACAAACTAGGTCAAGCAAGAGAACTTCAGGTAGTGATAGCTATCATGAGCATTGGCGTTGTGTGAAAAAGGCGCTTTAAACATGGGCTGCAAGGAACTAGTCAATCACTGTTGTTTCCAGGTAAAGGCTGTCTCAGGGGAGTTTTGCTCAGCCTTAAAAGGGCCAGCCCGAGTCGTGGTACTGACATTACCCCTCCTCCCACCCTGTCTTGGAGGGGTTGCTCCTGCACCCTGAGACTTACTTGGATGATGAAGATGGAACTCCCTCTTGAGTTGAACATAAAGGAGATCATGAACTGGGAGTGAGCAGACCAGGGGCGGACTGACAATTCATGGGGCCCCCTGGCAATAAGGGATCATGGGGCCCCTGTGTCCTCGCCCACACTCAAACCACACCCAAAAAAGCCTATGAAAGGTACCAGGGACATCTCATGGGGCCCCCTACTGACCCGGGCCCTCGGGCAGTGCCCAAGTTCCCCAATGGTCAGTCCACCCCTGGAGCAGACTCACCTACAGCTAAAACTGGGACAGGCTGCACTGAAGTGGCAGGTGCAGAGACAGGAAGAACTGCAGCAACTGGCACAGAAACTGGCATGACTGCCACAGATGGCACTGGGCGAGGCTGGACTTGAACTGCTGATACAGATTAAGATTGGACTAGAGCTGCTGACAAAGATAGCCTGGACTGAGGCATAAGGTACATGCTAAGCTGAGACTGGCTGGCACCTGTGCTGTAGGCACAGGTTCATTGGCATCTAGCTAAAACAGTGACAATAATATTCTTCAAGAATGTGTAGCACCAGGTAAGAGATCCAAAAAATAGTTGTAACTGTGATGAAGCGGTAAGGTGTCACCCGACCCCAGGGGCGGACTGACCATTTGGAAACTCGGGCATTGCCCGAGGGCCCAGGGTCAGTAGGGGGCTCCATGAGATGCCCCTGGTTTTTCATAGGCTTTTTTGAGTTTGAGCAAGGACACAGGGGCCCCATAATCCCCTATTGCCCGGGAGCCCCATGAGTTGTCAGTCCGCCCCTGCCTGACCCTTTAGAAAATAAATCCAGGGAGTCCTTAAAACAAGGTGAAATGTGTCCCATTTGACAGGCAGTAATCTGGATAGAACACAGTAGGCAGGTTTGTAAACACTGATCAGACCATGCCAAGATATTCCTTGTGCTCCAATCAATTACTGGATTGTGACCCCAAAGCTAGACAAGAAGTCTTCTCCCAATCCAAAGGTTCCACTTGTAGCTGGAAAGGATTAGTAGCCTGCAGCAGTTGATTTTATGAGAGAGGCTGATTTTCCACAGAAATCACAGAAATCAGGTGGACAGGACAGTCCAGAACATGAGCTTTCAGACACAAGAGCACACAAGGTAGCATCCATTATCACAAGCTCTGGTGGTGTGTGAAACAGACGCTTTAAGCATGGGCTGCAAGGAGCTGGCCGATCACTGTTGTTTCTGGGCAAGGCTTTCTCATGTGAGATTTGCTTAGCCCTAAAGGGTCAGCCTGAGTCATGGTACTGACACTAATTATAATGCAGAGCTCTGCTCAGGGGCAGACTGACCATTCGAGCACTCGGGCACTGCCCAAGGGCCCAGGCTCAGTAGGGGGCCCCGTGAAATGCCCCTGGTACCTTTTATAGGCTTTATTGGGTGTGCTTTGAGTGTGGGCAAGGACACAGAGGCCCCATGATCCCCTATTGCCTGGGGGCCCCATGAGTTGTCAGTCCGCCCCTGGCTCTGCTTTGGCTCACTGGTGCTTGGACAGCTTGGTAGTGGCTTGTGGGTCTATCTTGCTGACTTGGCTTGCACTTCCTGGTGTAGTCATCACTCTCAAAAAGGCCCTGGAGGCTCTGTCTAACCACTAGGCACGTGTCTTTGGAAGCCAGGCAAGAGGTAGCGCACAATGCCTTGGGCCTCCCCTCTCAAGCCTTCTCCATCCTGCTCCTTCGAATTTACCAATCTCTGAAGTCAAAAACAAACATCAGCTTGACCCCACTTATTATTAGAAACATTCTTAAAACAAACATTTTCAAACAAATTTCTACCTGTGTATGGCCAAGTTTGTATTAATGTTACTGTTACTGACACCTTGAGTAACAAACCACTTGTTTAAAATGTTTATTAAATAAACCTTTCATGTAACTTTCCAAGTCTGTAGTAATGCATTTCTGAAGAGTTCCCATAGGTATTGCTGGGCCCAGAGTCCCAGAATAGTGTTCACCCCACATTTATTACATAAAAATAGTGCAGAACTATAAATGTAGTGAAAATTGATATGCAAAATGATCTAAATGACTATACATACAGTAAAACAGTCAATATGTAAAGGATAATAAAATATTGAAATATTAATAAATGTTCCGTATTGTCACTAAAGGCTACTGAATAGTCTATATAGTGCTCTCCTTATAATCCGTGATGATATTCCCAGTAATGTAGAGAGATTGTGCACTCACCAGATGCACAATGTAAATGTGCATTAAGTAAAAACCGCATAAGCCTCCTTTAGGGTCTGGTCTGGGATAGGGGAAGATGTCCTCCCTCTGGGTGGTTGGTCTGGTCAGGAACACGCGGAGATGATCCTCCCTCTAAGTGGATAGTAGTGGTGGAGGCACACAGGATGATAAGAAGAAGATCCAGCTGGCCAGAGGTCCCCTTAAGGGATAGGCGGGTGCATGTTGCCTGGGTACAGGATCTCCCTTCTCTGGAATCCTTAATGTTGCTATAATTTTATGTAACGTATTCTGTGGGTCCCATAATGGAGGCTTTCATTTTGTGAAAACTTCTTTTTATCGGATGCGCAAAGAAAATGCACAATGTATCAACAAAACGGAGGTCTGCCAGGGGGTCCCTTTCAGGATACGAATGGAATCAGCCCGGGATGGATGGACATCATCTGGATATATATTCTCAAACCGGAGGTCCACTTTAAGGACATGGATGCAGCCTCTTCAGTACAGTGGGATAGTCACCAAGGGGAGCTCTGTACCTGCATTTTTTTATGATTTTGGATGTAAAATGACAAGAGGAGAAAATGATGTCCCAAAAAATGCCCTTACAGAAGAACGCCATTAAAACCAGCAACTTATTATCGGTAGCTAGTTCATCATTTCTCTGAAGGCACTTGGGATTTTCAGCAAGTAGTCCATGCAGTAGGCTCTCACATATCCTCAACAAGTCCCAGAGTGGTGGGTGAACCCTCTCTAGGAGATGCACACAGCAAAACCACCACCCATACGATTATCATGCTCTGAATTGTTTTTATTGTTGGTGGTATGAGATATTAAGATTTTAAATAAAAGAAATACAGATGCTTTCATTGCTGATAAGAATGTCAACTTTTCTCTGGCATTTGTGATGTGCATACCTATTTAGTGTTAGAGTAACAGCGAGCCAACCAGCTTTTAGAGAAAGAAGTCAACAATGGCAACCGCTATATTTCTTTCAGAACATATTTACTTTAGTGATTACCACTATGCCATACAGCAACTGGGTGGTAATCATGGATTACTAAGCTACCACAAAAAATGGTTGACTACTTCAGTTTGCAAGAAAATGGCACCCAACTTCTCTTGCATTTGGGCAAGAGACTTATGGCCACAAGATCACACCCTGTCAAATTAGATGGAGTTCTGGGAAGCTAGATTTTACTTCAGAGGACAAATGAGGCACTTATGACAAACTGGCTGTAGCCTGTATCAAGTACAGGGGCGGACTGACCATTTGGAAACTCGGGCACTGCCCAAGGGCCCGTGGTCAGTAGGGGGCCCCATGAGATGCCCCTGGTACCTTTTTCATAGGCTTTTTGAGTTTGGGCAAGGATACAGGGGCCCCATTATCCCCTATTGCCCAGGGGCCCCATGAGTTGTCAGTCCGCCCCTGATCAAGTATACATAGTAAGGAGCTCACTTGACAATATCCACTTCAGCTCTCACACCTATTTACCCCCTGTGGACCAGACCATATTTTCACATTTCCCCTAAATGTCTATTCATGAGCCTATAACTTTGTAATTACCTATGATAAAGAATTGATGCATATATCATTTTTTGGGGACAAATAGAACTTTCTTGTGGTCCTAAGGTCTTCTGAGAATTTTTTACATTTATTTGCATTTTAAGGGGAATAAAGAGTAAAAAAATCTAAAACAATATTAATTTTTTCAAGTTTTCTCAGTGATATTTTGAACAAGTGCCATTACTGTGGGGAAACTTACACATTTTATTCTGCTGCTTGTTCCATTTACTGCAACACTAAAATTACATTTTTGGTACAAATCATGTTAAAACTATTTACAAAAGTAATAAAAAAACATTTTGCATATATTTAATTTTTCTTATAATGCATTGATAATTTAAAAGTTGTTACTGATTTAAAATAAAACGGATATATCCTAAACCACATATTTTTAACAGTATTCTATTTTTTAACAATAATTTCAAATGTAAACATAGAACAGGAGATGAAACTGTTACAAATAGTGCTTTATACAGCATGATCTACTGAAATGAATGGGTTAAATAGAAACATAAAAGTTAAATAAGAGCATGTCCAGGTTAATTAAGAGTTAACTAATTTGCTATGCATACAAATATTCTTCTTCAGCTCTTTTACTCACAGATCACAACTCACAAGCAGGGGCGGACTGACAACTCATGGGGCCCCAGGGCAATAGGGGATCATGGGGCCCCTGTGTCCTTGCCCAAACTCAAAAAGGCTATGAAAAAAAGGTACCAGGGGCATCTCATGGGGCCCCCTGCTGACCCCCGGGCCCTCGGGCAGTGCCCGAGTTTCTAAATGGTCAATCCACCTCGGCTCACAAGTCTGTCAGGGAAACTACAGAGATAAGAAACTACTGTGTTACATTTGTTATGGTTTACAAATGTTACACTGAATGTTCACTGTGATTGACAGTCTCCTGAATGTACAGGAGATGTCTTGTGTACAGAGGAGGAGGTTTATGAAGTGTGTAACACACTGAAGGTAGGAAACTGTATATAAAGATATCATATCACTTCCAAATATACAGTATTTAAAGTGAAGAGAAGGTATTACAAGTGCTCCCACCCAGCCAAGAAGGGCAAAGATGGTGTCCAATACTGTTTAAGATCCTTATCAAGTTTAAAAATTTATTGGAGGTTCAAGGAGAGCAAATGCATTTTGGGGATCTGTGTCACCTTCATCAGGGTTAATAATAAACATATTTGGTGTCAATTGAGTATAAAAACACATATTTGAAAAATAAATCCGAATATGGCAAGGCAAAATAGGCATTTATTACAATAAATATTATTAAACAATTACATTAAAAAAAAAATAACATGATGCTATATATACAGTTGCAAGAAAAAAGTATGTGAACCCCTTGGGATTACGTGGAGTTTTGCATGAATTGGGCATAAAATGTGCTCCGTGAACGTCATCTAAATCACAGCAAATAGAAGAACACAGTCTGCTGAACATAATACTACACAAACATTAGATGTTGCCATGTTTTAATTGCACATAACATGTAAACATTCACAGTGCAGGGAGGAAAAAGTATGTGAACCTTTGGACTTAATAACTGGTTGACCCTCCTTTGGCAGCAATAACCTCAACCAAACGTTTCCTGTAGTTGCAGATCAGACCTGCACAACGATCTGGAGTCATTTTGGACCACATCCTCTTCACAAAACTGTTCCAGTGTAGCAATATTCTTGGATGTCTGGTGTGAATCGCTCTCTTAAGGTCATGCCACAGCATTTCAGTCGGGTTGAGGTCAGGACTCTGACTGGGCCACTCCAGAAGGCGTATTCTGTGTTGTTGCAGCCATTGTTTTGTTGAATTACTTGTATGCTTTGGGTCATTGTCCTGTTGCCCTCACCCATCCTCTGCGGAGCTTCAGTTGGCGGACAGATGGTCGTACGTTTTCCTGCAAAATGTCTTGATAAACTCTGGAATTCATTTTCCCATCAATGACAAAAATCCGTCCAGGCCCTGAGGCAGCAAAGCAGCCCCAAACCATGATGCTCCCCCTCCGCCATGTTTTTACAGTGGGGATGAGGTTTTGATGTTGGTGTGCTGTGCCTTTTTTTCTCCACACATAGTGTTGTGTGTTCTTCCCAAACAACTCAATCTTGGTTTCATCTGTCCACAGTATATTTTGCCAGTAGTGCTGTGGAACATCCAGGTGCTCTTTTGCAAACTTCAAACGTGTTTGCAATATTCTTTTTGGACAGCAATGGCTTCCTCCGTGGTGTCCTCCCATGTACTCCATTCTTGTTTAATGTTTTCCTTATTGTAGATGTGTCAACAAAAATGTTAGCATGTGCCAGAGATTTCTGTAGGTCTTTAGCTGACACTCTGGGATTCTTCTTTACCTCATGCAGCATTCTGCGCTGTACTCTTGCAGTCATTTTTACAGGACGAACACGCCTAGGGAGAGTAGCAACAGTGCTAAACTTTCTCCATTTGTAGACAGTCTGTCTTACCTGGACACATGAACATCAAGGCTTTTGGAGATACTTTTGTAACCCTTTTCCAGCTTCATGCCAGTCAACAATTCTTGATCGTAGGTCTTCTGAGAGCTCTTTCTGCGAGGCATGGTTCACATCAGACAGTGCTTCTTGAAACCAGTAAACCCAAAACAGTTGTGTGTGTTTTTTAAGGGCAGGACAGCTGTCAGCAACACATCCAATATCATCACACTGATTGGAGTCAAGGTTGGCTCACTCCTGGCTCCAATTAGCTCTGGAGAGAAGTCATTAGGCTAGGGCCTCACATACTTTTTCCTCCCTGCACTGTGAATGTTTACATGTTATGTGCAATTAAACCATGGCAACATCTAATGTTTGTGTAGTATTATGTTCAGCAGACTGTGTTCTTCTATTGTTGTGACTTAGATGACGTTCAGAGCACATTTTATGCCCAATTCATGCAACAAAACTCCACGTAATCCCAACGGGTTCACATACTTTTTCTTGCAACTGTATATGAAATACTTAATTTTGAGCAAAAGGATATGATGGACATTGGTGGATCCTTTTGAGTCAATGTGATATGTTTTATATCTTTTTACTATTTTGTAGTCCAAATATAGTTTTTTGTTTTTATATAATACCATGAAATCCATCTGATTAGGATAGCTCCTTGGGGGGGGGGGGTCATTTATGAAGTATTAGTAACTTTTTATATAAGTAGAGAAAAAAACTACCTTTTTTAAAAGATAATAAGCTTTCCTATGCAACAAAAAACAGAGAACAACTGTTCATCACATTGTCAGATTTCATTCTCCATTTCTTAACTTTATACTAGTATAAAGGTAACATGAATGAACACTGAAGAATGTGATGAACAGTTGTTCTCTGTTTTTTATTGTATAGGAAAGCTTATTATCTTTGTGTAGTATTATTTCTAAAAAGCACTGCAATGCCCCAATAAACTCCACTGTATGATGACATAAGTCATTTACTCACCAGTCATACACCTGCTTCTTCTTAGATGGCTGTTGTGATATTAATGCTAGTTAAGAGTATTCAGTATTCAATAGCTTTTAGAAATGTCAAGTTAGGTTAATAATTAAAACTGATTTAGAAAAATCACATGTGATCTATCTGCCATAGGCATTTGTGAAACAGTAGCTTTGACATGGGCTGCATTCATTAATTGCATGACAGTTAGGCTACGTTCACACTAGCGTTGTGTGCAGGCGGCAGAGAGGCATTTGGGAAGCGTTTTTACCGCTTTCCAAACGCCTCTGACAATTCTGCACATTGCAGCACATGGTGCTGTTCTAACGGGGAGCGTTAGCGTCGCGGCAAAACAGACGCCTCTGGTGGAGTCAGGAGGCGTTGAAGCCTCCTATTCTAGTCTATGGTGCCTCTCCGCAAACGCCCGGCCGGCGCTTGCGGCGTGGTTGCGATGCGGTTGCGGGCATTTGCGGAGCGGTAAACACCATTTAAAACTTCATTATAGGCATTTGCGGAGCGCTTTTTAAACGCTCGGCAAACACCTAGCAACAACCGCTAAAAACCGCGCATGCGGCGTTTGCGGGAGCATTTGCCGAGCGTTAAAAACGCTCCTCAAACGCCGGACCAACGCTTGCCAAACGCTATAGGGGCGTTTGGCAAGCGTTGGTAAAACAGTCAAGTGTGTGAGTGGAAATATCACCAATTAAAACACTTCGTAGAAGGGCTTCCGAAACCTATGAGAGGAACAAAGGAGTGGAATTTGTTTGAGAGGTTGTTGGAATCACGGGGAGATGGGAAACGGGGTACGGCAAAAATGTATAAGATTCTCACTGAGTTAGTCACGGAAGTAAAACCAATGTATATAGAAAAGTGGGAAAAGGACTTGGGGATAGAGATAGATGAGGATAAACAGAGGAAAATATATAGACTTACACACGAAAATGTCAGTATGAGAGAGGTGGAGGTAAATTATAAGTGTTTGGTAAGATGGCACATCACACCGAGTGTTGAATATAAAATAGATGTAGAAAGAACACAAGAGTGTTGGCGGGGGTGTGGAAAGATTGGTACGTGGTTTCATATATGGTGGGAGTGTCCAAAGATCCAAAGGTACTGGGAGACAATGGTCAACTTAAGGAAAATTTCAGGGATAAAGATAGGACTAGGTCCAGAAGCGTGCTATTACATAATACAGAAATACCAGTGAATAAATACAAAGATTTGGGTATATGGTACTATGTGAATGCAGCAAAGGGTTTGATACCTAAATTCTGGCATAATCCAGAGGTGCCGAGAGAAAAGGACTGGGTAGAGAGAGTAAATCAGATTAGTAGGATGGAGAAATTGTATTATATCCAAGAAGACAAGATGGAGATTTACAATAGGAGATGGAGGAAATGGGAAGATTTTGTACATCAAACGAATATATGTGAAGCAATGGGAAGTGATAAGAAAGTTTCTTTTTGATTCTATAGGGAAGGATTTAAGAGAGAAATGCAGAGTGGGAGGTGGTGGTGGGATGT